GGAGGCGGGTGCAGGATGGAGGCACAGCTCATGTGGTGGGGGCAGCTCCCACCACTGCTTGCACCCCAGGAGGGCAGGGACAGGGAGGCGTGTGACTGGATCTGCGCAGAGTGGGGCAGGCTGAAGCTGTAGGATGGAGCTGGAGCTGGAGCCAGCGCTGCGCGGGGCTTTTCTTGCTGGGGTCTGAGTTTGGAGCGGGCCCTGGCGGCGCTGAGAGGCAGCTGCAACCACCCCAGATTTACCCGCAGCTCCCCTCCCAGCCCCACGCCACCACCCAGCACAGCCCCAGCTTTTCCCGTCGCTTGGTTAGAGGTAGGGCATTCAGCTGGGGCAGTGCGGGGCTGGGAGTGGAGCTGCGGCAAAATTTGAGGTGGCTGCAGCTTTCTCCCAGTGGTGCTGGTGTCTGCTGAGAGCTCAGTCCCTGGCATGAAAAGTCCTGTGCAGCTCCGGCTCTACCCTGCAGCTGAAGCCCGCCCTGCGTTGCATAGATCTGGGGGCATATGCCTCCGCCCCGCCCTCCCGGGGTGCCAGCAGTTGTGGGAGCTGCCGCCACCCTGCAAGCCATGCCTCCATCCGCATGCCGTTTCCCACAGGCTGGGCAGTGCCTGCCCATGCCCCCTCCCTCACCACAGGGGGTGTTGATCTGATGCCTCCCCTTCCCTTTGCCCCCTGCCCTGCTCTCCCCTTCCGACTTACCAGCTGGAGACAGCTGTCCATGCTGCCAGCTCTGCTTCGTGCTGCGCTGCATCTGCACACAGCAGAAGCATTTATCGGCCAACAATTATGCAGGTTTACTTTTTTTGGAGAGATGGTGTTATATGAAGGACTAATACACGTTTACTTTTCATGAATAGTGACATATGGTGAAAAGTAAGTTGTTGATTTTTCCTTTTGTTGCATTCAATTATCATCAACTGTGATAGAGCTGATGGCAAAAAATGGGAGCTCAGTTTTCCTATTTAAAAGAAACAGGAATCACTTTCTGAATTTCTGTACAATGGGACAATGTATAAACCTTGATTTCAGGCTTCCTGAAGCTTGGGGGCATATCACAATCTCATCCAGTTGTAAACACTGGTTTGTGTTTTTGCAGTAGGTTTACTGTTTGTTTCTTCAGCACTGGCTTTGCATTTTAGGGAAATGGATATTTCCAAAATTCTATCAAAGATGACCTTTATCTTTAAGGGACATAGCCAGGTTTGAAGCACTTAACCATTATTGTTACAGATAACATCTAGAATTATAATAAGTATAAAATTAAAGAGTTGTTTTTTTCCCCTTTGTGTATTTGACAGACTGCACTTTGTATGGAATTGATATCCTCCACCCCATTACAGATTAGTTAGGTCACTTTCCTCATTTGCTTTATATAAGACCCATATAACCAGGCAGAGAGAAAGTTTAAAATAGGAGTTAAAAAACTAAATACACCAATTGATAGACAGCATGAGGTTCTGGTATAATACCTGAAACTAATCTGTATTGCAGTAATCAACTCTCCAGTTTTACTTAGTATTAAAATCCTGTTTTATATAAATAAGACTAGAAGTGATATTTTTCTGAACTCCTATACCTGATATGTATTTAGGAAAAGTATTTTGTAACATAAAGTTTTCATAGATAAATCCTTTTAAGTGTTTTGGCATAAGCATGCAACTTTCTACACACAGGATGCATCTACATGTGTAATTAATGTGACGCAATAAACTCTGGAGCAATTCATGTCAGAGTAAACTACTCCTGGGCGCAGCATCTACACATGTGCCTGGGAGAGCAGCAATTTGAGCTGGGGTGGAACAGGTCCCTAGCTGGCTAGGCTGCCGGGGTGCAATTTATGCCCCCCCCCCGGTCACCATCTACGTGTGTGTTTTATCCAAGTCAAAACCCAGGAGGGCATAGATCTTTACACACAGCCTGTTCTTGGAATGAATGGTAACTAACTTGAAAGATTGTCCCAGGAAAAAAGTGTTACCTCAGGTATTTCATAGCTACTTAAAGTGGGATAATTAGTTCATATGTCTGCAGGATATCAGACATTTCTCCTAGGAGAAATGTGATGTCTATTTTAACTAATGTATAACTAGATTATACCTGCTTGTTTCTGTATCATGGGTTTAAAAGAAAACACAACTAAGATACCAGTGAACCTCTGTTGTGGAATTCTGTCCAACTTGCAGATATTCATGAAGTAAAGGGTGAACATTGCCACTTGTGCTTTGAGTGGGTAGGAGCATACAGTCTTTTCTAAGATTATGGAAACAGGTTATAGTAATTGGAACAGGAAAACCAGAATCTGCAATCTCAAGTCTATTTTCCATTTTCCTTCTGGTTTGCTGTATGATTGTGAACAAGTGACTTGGTCTTAGTTTGCCCATCTTTAAAATTGGAGAGCTAAAACTTTAACTCATAGACATGTTGAATTTTGTTTAATGTTCATAAAGCATTTTGAAATCCTTTGTTCAGTTATATTATTTAAGTCTTTCTTCTGATGTTTAACTTGGATTTTTTTTCCTCTGTTCTCAGGATTCATACAGGAAACAAGTAGTAATTGATGGAGAAACCTGTCTCTTGGATATTCTTGACACAGCAGGTCAAGAAGAGTACAGCGCAATGAGGGACCAATACATGAGAACAGGGGAGGGTTTTCTATGTGTATTTGCCATAAATAATACAAAATCATTTGAAGATATCCATCATTATAGGTAAGTCTAATAAAATAAATTACTTCAGTAATTCTCCAAAGAGGGAATGATTTGCTTGCTTCTGCTTACAACCGAAGATAATTTATTTCTTACAGTTATGGAATTGTAACATAATCATATTTCCAAACTAGCAGTGAACAGTGACTTTTGCAGTTAATAAGCCATTAAAAATATATCTATTGATTTTTTTTTTTTTGATTTTTTTTTTTTTTTGGTCACCTAGCCAGAATGATTATGCAATGGACTGCCCATTCTTGGAGCATACTCACAGTTTTGGGTTGATGGAAGAAGGCTGGTTGAAGCTACCTGAAAATTCCTCTAGTAGTATGTTTTTGAAATATAAAACAGATGTAGAGATACGGGCTTCAGAATTAGCATCCTACTGAGATTAATGGAAATCGAGTATGGATCAAATTCTGCCTTCCTCATGACTGTAGAGTAGTACTTCTATGGCTGTAGAATACAGTTAAGTAAAGTAATTCTGCTCTTTGTGAAATGTGCCTGTGAAAGCAGTGGATGACGCTAACACTTACTAACATCCCCAGCTCTGTGGGGGCAACTTTCCTACTATTTATGGCTGGAGCTCTTCTCTTTTAGTAGTCTGATGTAGGCAACCAAATTCTATTATGACTTGATAGATATTATATTAACACTTAATATCACTCAATCTTTCCTCCTCAGTGTCTGTTTTTTAAATATGAAAAAGTTCTTTCCTGTTCCATAAATAACAGTAATATATTTAAAAAAAAAAAAAAGTGGAAAAAATCCATGCGACTTTTTAACAAAAGTGTGCCTATCTCAGTAGGACTCTGCAAACTGGGAGAAACTACCTACATTTACAATATTATTTGCCATGTATAAACCAAGTCCTAGTTGGTCAGCCTTCATCTGTAATTCAGTCATAAAGACACTGGACTCTTACAGGACGTATTGTTGCCAGTGTCTCCTGACTCTCTCCTATGTCTGCTGGATGTTGGATAGAAGAGATGATGGTGCAAATCCAAGCCAATAAAAATTACTACTTTAGAAAACAAAACAATAAAACCTCTGGATAATGTGTATATGATCATTAAACCTACAGCAGAGCAAACTTTTTTCATAGATTCATAGACATTAGGGCTGGAAGGGACCTCATGAGATCATCGGGTTTAGCCCCCTGCCCAAGGGGCAGGAAGTCAGCTGGGGTCAGATCACCCCAGCAAGATAAGCATCCAAGTGATTCTTAAAGGTATCCAGAGTAGGTGCTTGCACCACTTCTGGGGAACTCTATTCCAGATTCTGGAGACTCGGATGGTAAAGAAGTTTTTCATTATGTCCAGTCTAAAACGGTCTTCCAGCAGTTTGTGACCATTAGTCTTCTACTGGGGTGCTCTGGTGAATAGACGTTCTCTCAGTTCCTGATGCACACCCCTTGTATACTTATAAGCTGCCACCAAGTCACTCCTGAGCCTTTGCTTCTCCAGGCTTAAGAGTCCCATGCCTCTCAGCCTCTCCTCATAAGGCCTGTTCTCTTGACCTCTACTCATGCGTGTGGCTCTCCTGGATTGTCTCAAGCTTCTCCACATCCTTTCTGAAGTGTGGAGCCTAGAACTGGGTGCAGTATTCCAGCTACAGCCTCATCAAGGCTGAGTAAAGCAGGAGGATGACTTCTTGGGTCTTGCTTGACGTGCATCGGTAGATGAAAGCCAGAGTTTTATTTGCTTTGCCAGCTATTGTATCACATGGGTGGCTCATGTTCATCTTGTGGTCAATCATGACCCCCAAGTCTCTTTTGGTACTGGTGCTAGTGAGTATAGCACTGCTGAGCCTATAAGTATGATGTGTGTTTTGTCTTTTTTTATCCCAAGGTGGAGCACCTTGCATTTCTTTGTTGAATGTCATCAGGTTTTGATCTGACTACCTTGTGAGCCTGTCCAGGTCAGCCTGAATTGCCAGCCTGTCCTCTAGCGTGACCGCACTTGCCCATAATTTGGTGTCATCTGCAAACTTAGCCAGTCCACTTCTGACACCTGAGTCTAGATTCTTTATGAATATATTAAAGAGTACTGAGCCCTGGAGGACACCACTGGTCATCATGCACCATGTTGACTCGGTTCCATCGACTATCACTCTCTGGGTCTGACCATGAAGCTAGTTTCCCAGCCATCGGACCGTAAGGTGGTTGAGGCCGCAGTTCCCCAATTTTACCATGAGGACACCATGGGAGATGTAAGATTTTTAATCTTACTTTAAACAGCAAAAGAAACACAGAATTGCTATCTGTTTTTAAATACATTGACTTCAATACTATAGGAAATCATAATTGTATTGTTTGAGGATTAACTGTCCATGTTCTCTGAAAGAGGAAAAAGGAATGAAATTAAAGACTAGTATTATATGTTGAGTTTCTTTCAGCAGCTTTGTCATCTTGCTGAATAGTTCTGACTACAATACTGTTTTAAAGATGTATTTTAAGAAGAGCTACCTGCTAAAGAAAACTTCAGAAAATATTAACCAGATAGAGACAGATTTTTAAAATCTCCCCCTACAATTGCAGTGCCTTAACCATAGATTTTTTTTAAAACATAGTAGCATCAGTTTTTTAAGGGGGATGTTTGACATTTTTTTAATTAAAAAGTGATATGGATATACAAAATGAATTTCAGGGTTCTGGTTAGCATGAAAACTACAATGTCTACACACATTTACATTGGGATACTTTAAATGAGAAAATCATCTATGCTTTTGATTCCAGTCTTGGAAGTGCATTTTCTGATTCCTTCACTCACCCAAGAGCAAGAGGGTAAAGGAGAAGATAGTTGCTATTTCTAAACCCTCTCACCACTTACACATAGTACCAAATCTAATGCAGTTATTTACATAGTAGTGGTGTGCAAAATGGGCCATTTTCGATTCAGATTTGGATTGGGCCCGAATCAGGGACAGTGATTTGATTCGTTGATTCAGATCACTGTCCCCAATTCAATTCAGCCGAATCTGAATCTGAAGATTCGATGCTGATTTGGAGAATCAGTGACTCGGCCATAGATACAGCTTTAAATGTTGGGATGGAGCGTCCCACAGGAGCACAGGAGGGGGCCCGCATGCTCAGCGGCAAAGCCGGAAATGGACCAGAATTCCTTCTGAGCCACTTCCGGGTCCGCCGCTGAGTGCGCCGGGGGCCCCCTGGTGTCCCCCAGCTCAGTGATTGGCCCTGGGGGGACCCCGGGTGCCCCCCAAACCCAGGAGGCACTAGTCACCGAGGTGGGAGGTCCCCATGCACTCACCAGCAGACCTGGAAGTGGACTGGAAGTGCTTCTGGCCCACTTCTGGGTCCGCTGCCAAGCATGCTGGGGACCTGGACACCCCCCCCCCCCCCCCACCCTCTCTTGGGGTCCCCCCCCCCCCCCCCCCACTCTTCGGTTGGATGTTCCATCCACCCCAGCATCTCAGCATTCATGAGCTGCTTGCTACCTTGAGGTATGTAGAAAAAATATTTGAAGCTGTGTCTACGTCCAAATCATCGAATCTTTCCGAATCTCTCTGAATCGATTCGGAGGGTTTCAATTCAGAGATATTATAGGGTTTCTTGATTCGATTTATGAGCTTTATGGCTTTACGAGCACTCGTGGTGCTCTGGCGTTGTGTCAGAGGACTGGAAAAGGGCCAATGTGGTTCCCATATTCAAAAAAGGGAGGAAGGAGGACCCAGGAAACTATAGGCCTGTTAGTCTTGCTTCGGTCCTGGGTAAGCTTTTTGAGAGAGTTGTCCTGGTGCATGTCCGCGAGGGGTCGGCAGGGGAAATTATGCTTAGGGGCAACCAACATGGGTTCATTAGAGGCAGGTCCTGTCAGACCAACCTCATGGCCTTCTGTGACCAGGTCGCAAAATCCTTGGACGCAGGTGTCACAGTGGATGTAGTCTTTCTGGAATTTAGGAAGGCCTTCGACACTGTCTCTCACCCCATTCTCATTAAAAAACTAGGAAACTGGCGTCGATACCTATACAGTCAGATGGATCACTAATTGGTTGGAGGGCTGCACCCAGAGAGTGGTGGTGGACGGGTCTTATTTGACCTGGAGGGATGTGGGCAGTGGGGTTCCGCAGGGCTTGGTCCTCAGGCCTGCACTGTTCAACATCTTCATCAGCGACTTGGACGAGGGGGTAAAAAGCACCCTGTTCAAATTTGCAGATGACACTAAGATGTGGGGAGAAGTGGGCATGTTAGAAGGGAGGAATAGGCTGCAATCGGACGTAGACAGGTTACAGGGGTGGGTGGATGAGAACAGGATGGGTTTCAACACTGACAAGTACAAGGTGCTGCACCTTAGGAGGAAGAACCAGCAGCATACCTACAGACTGAGGAACTCCCTTCTTGTCAGTGCAGAGGCAGAAAAGGATCTTGGAATCATTATTGATGCCAAAATGACAGTGTGGGGACGCAGTCAGGAAGGCTAACCATACCTTGTGCATCCAGAGATGCATCTCAGGCAGGTCCAAGAAGGTGATCTTCCCCCTCTATGCGACACTGGTCAGGCCGCAGTTGGAGTACTGCGTCCAGTTCTGGGCGCTGCACTTCAGGAGGGATGTGGACAACATGGAGAGGGTCCAGAGGAGGGCCACCCGCATGATCGGGGGTCAGCAGGGCAGGCCCTACGAGGAGAGGCTAAGGGACCTGACAAGAGAAGGCTGAGGGGGGATCTAGTGGCAGTTTACAAAGTAGTCGGGGGGGACCAGCAGGCATTGGGAGAGTCCCTGTTCCCCCGAGCACTACCAGGAGTGACAAGAAATAACGGTCAAGCTGGCAGAGGGTAGATTCAGATTAGACTTCAGGAGGTGCTACTTCACTGTCAGGGTGGCTAGGATCTATCTGGATCCAACTTCTGAGAGAAGTGGTGCTGGCTCCTACCCTGGGGGTCTTTAAAAGGAGGCTGGATGAACACCTTGCCTGGGGTCGTTTGACCCCAGTACTCTTTCCTGCCATGGCAGGGGGTCAGACTTGATGATCTGCTCAGGTCCCTTCCGACCCTGCCAACTATGAAACTATGATTTGGAGATTCGGCCGCCAAATCGGGCTGAATTGAATTGGCAACTGAAGCTCCATACAGCCCTACTACCTAGTGAATAGGACCCTGTAGCATACTGGAGGAACTTTTTTGAAATCATTCAGCTTTTATCTCTTTCTAATGTAAATAGAGAGCTTAAATGTTGTATTATATTTTAGGGCTTAACTATTACATTCTGTCCCCAGCTGTAAGTAGGGATTTTGCATGAGTGGGACAAGGTCTCTAAGGAATAATAATAATCTTTACAAAAACCTCAGCCATGTGACTTGAGTTTCATTTATATTAAGGTAATCCACACTGTGCTGGCATTAAAATAATCATAGAATTAAAGGACCTGTAGCATAAATAGGGTGGAGTCTGTCATTTTAGCCCTGTGAGTCTCATTGGCAATAGGAGCCATGTCTAATCATCTAGCAGGTTTAGTTATTTTTATTTTGGTTTTCACATATATGCAATTCTGCTATGTTTTAAGTTGAAAGGTTAAATGTAAAAGGCAACAGGGTCAACTGCTTACACTGTTTTGAAATTTCAAACGGTGTCCACAAAATAAAAAGTATTCATATTGTTGTTCTACTTAGGGGAAAAAAAATCTAATTTGTATTTTGTTTTCTTTCAAAATCCAATTTTTATTAATGCTGCTTATTAATTTATATTTAATAAATCTCAATTTTTCCTTTTCTTTTCTTTTCAGGGAGCAGATAAAAAGAGTTAAAGATTCTGAAGATGTCCCTATGGTGCTAGTAGGAAACAAATGTGATTTACCTTCCAGAACGGTAGATACAAAACAAGCTCAGGACTTAGCAAGAAGTTATGGAATTCCTTTCATTGAAACATCAGCAAAGACAAGACAGGTGAAGTTCATATCAAGGGATATACAAAAGCAGAACTCCTGCTTGAATTTTTAAAAAAGCTAGATTAGTTCAATCGTCAGCAACTGCCATGAACGACGCATGTCCCCAGGGTGCACAGCCACACTCAAGAGGTGCATATGCACCTGTGTGCACCCCCTACGCGTCGCCCCTGGCAACTCCCATCCGGCATTTATGTATATTTTTGTAAAGGAAAAGCTTGTGGTGATTTGCTGTTCAGTGAACCTGCTGAATCATGTTCAGTGATGCAGCTTAGCTGCTCAAACTAAAGAGACCTAAGCCTCTGTTGCACTGAGCTACCAGGTGGCAGCATACTTCAAGTTGCAATTAACTTTTTAATAGCTTTGAGATAATTTCATTTTAAAAAAAGAATGTCTGAAGGGCATGCATTGGTTTTTTGAAGCAAAGGTGTTCAGCCATCAGACAACTAAACCAGTTTTTGACATTCAGTGGTCTGTCTTGACAGCAAAAACATTGCTTTTTTTGGTTATTGACTTATTCTCAGTGGGATATACTTTGTAAGACATTTCTCTATTTAAGCAATTGTCCCTACAATTCTTTGTCAAAACTTCAGATTTAATTGTTTGACAAACTGGTGTATATTCCTTGAGTGAAAATTTGGCGCACAGATATTTAGTGGGACTGGGATTTTACCCTTCTCTGTGAGAGAGTTTTATCTACACAGTATAACTGGTGTGGAAAAAACAGGCTTTTCCCCTCAGCTAACTGGTATAAAGGTGTTTGTACTGGTACAGCCTATTCCTCTTTCCTTAATGGGTAGAAGCTATCTCAGTATGAATAGAGCTGGCTGAAAACGTTTTGACACACTGTCAGAAAATGTTGATCTGTTAAAATCAAAACCTTTCATGCAAAAGATTAAACTGCATATTTCCTATGATGAAGAGAAATTTCTTTAACACAAAACAGAAGCATTTGATTATTTTGGATTCCAAATAATTTTCTTAAAAAAAAAAAATCAATGATAAAAGAGTAGTTTTATTAAGAATGAAACTTACCATCAACCCACTCTTTTCTTTGTTGACTTGTTTTATAATTCCAATTTGAGACCTGAGCAATTTTTTCGTGGTGATAGGAATACTGTTCGTTGCTCAGCTCTAGGCATAAGGAACTTTTTGCAGTGATAACTAGTGCTATGCTAAGGACTGTACTGGTATAATTCTGTTTGTTTAAAAAAAACCCACAGCCCTTATTGAAATCGAAATGATGGTACAAAAACAGTAGTCCAGATCTAAATGGCAAAATTTCCAAAGCTCTAAATCTGTGGGGCTACAGAGTAAAATAAACTACAAGTATCTTCAGTAAGCTAAGTGGGATACAGGCTGGCTGAATAACTCTAGGTAATATAATGTCCTTGCCTGAATTAGATTGTCTGTCATTGCAGCTGTAGGATAAAAATGGAAAAACTGGGAAATGACAATAGCAGCAAAAACACTGCTTTTTAAAGTATAAATTCTGTGTTTTTACTTTAATGTTGGAATTTTTGTTTAGTTAGCCAGTTTTGTACAGAAAACTTCCTCTTCTCCCTTCCCTCGCCACAATGCCTTTTAAATGCTAAATGTTTAAAATTAACCTTTCTTTAGGAGTATATTACCAAACAAACATGATGGCTGTATCAGCCCTCTTGTGTGTGGGGGTGTGTGTGGTGTGCGTGGGTTTCTTTTCCCTTCTTTCTTCCCCTTGCCCGGTACAAAATTATTTGCTTAGAAATCACTGCTTGGAATTCTGCTCAGTCTTATAATCTTACCATTCTTAAATTTATCTTTTTAAGGATTGTCAAACTCTATTTTGGTATGTGATTTGTTTCTCCTGATAAGAGACTTTTTAAAGAGCTGTGCCCAACCATAATGCAGTTAGTGGATTTATTGCAACCATTTTCCATATGCCCTTTGTTATCCTTAGCACAGGAGTGCATTTAGGCTAGAACTTATCTTGATCATTGTATTTTACTTTTTTTTTTGGTTTGACTTGCTTCTTGCTCCATATGGTTGGGAAGAAATTGTCCTTTTTATCTAGGGATTAATTTTGTTCTTCAAGGTTAGATTATTATTTTTCTTCTTTCTGTAGCTATTGCAACTACTTTTTCTAGAATTGGTGTTAGAATTAATTCCAGAGCTGAGCCCCAAATGTGGGTGTGTATAGGATATGTGTCCTTCCCACCCGCAGGAGACCTCTTATTAGTATTAGATTAAAATGGATGGGAGGGAAGGAGTACCCTGAAGTGACTAGAATTTAAGTTGCCACCACACTTTTGGACACATTTGATGTAAATTGCTAATCATGTTGCAACTTAATGATCTTCTATTATAAGATCACAGGAGTGATGAGAATCAGGAGTGAATGCTAGTGCCTATGAATGTTGGAGAAGCAAATAGGGCTGCATTTATAAAAATCTGGATAAAGGACTTCACTTATCTTCAGTGTGGGTTTTATGTTTTGAACCAGCCAGCTGTTTCCAAGTTACAGCATAAGAAACACCTGGATCTTGATGTTACTAAACTGCAGTATGCTGCAGTTGTTTTTTATTGTAGGTGATACTTTGAGCCCTGTTTGTTAGCTTCCTATTAACCTAGAGACAAATAGATTGTTGCCAATGCTAACACAGAATTCTGACATTCATCTGGTACGCTGATTGAGGCAGGTTTCCTTTAGTGGGGGAAAAATAGTCTTTAATTATCTAATCACATTATCTTGTTACACATGAGTAGAACACAGGCATAGTTTAAACTTGTGCATTTGGCATTTACTATCTTTTGAGTGGTTGACTCTCCAACCTTCATCTTTTAACATAGTGGGTTTTGGGCGTGGTGTTAATGTAATATGCATGGTACATGTTCAGTATCTGACTTTCAAAAGGATAGGAACTTAATCAGTGTTTAAAATTTTTTTTCTAAAGAACAACTGAACTTGTACACATTATAATTAGCTGACATAACTACAGATCTTAAAAAAAAAAAAAAAAAAAAAGTAATGAGCAAAACCATCATTTGATTCACTTGATATTTTTATTTGTAGTCCTAGGAAATTATTTAACAGGTAACACATTTTACATTGGCATGATGTAACTTGCTTTTTAAACAGTGGTAGAATATTTTGGTGCATTGGCTATTTTGTGGCACAGTAGATTTTGCAGGCTTCAGTAACTATCGCGTTGAGTGTGACTGTCAGATATTAATACACAGTGGTTTTTAAGAGGCACTTTTGAATATGAAAAGCACTTTGAATATTTTGACCCATCCTCCAAGCTGTTTATACCCAATGTACAAATAAAAATTTACCCTATTTTTACTATGGTGAAGGGCAGTACTGTGCTAAGACATCAGAGTAGCTTCATGCCAGATAGTTTCAAGACTGGATAGCAGTGGAATTGCTTGGAGGAAGAGATCAGTGGCATGCATGCATGCAGCATTGCACAAACAGAGCTATATTGCTTCCAGTTCAGGTTGTAGTGTATGAGCGTTATGTATGTAAGCTATTTTTAATAACAGAGCTAGGATTGGAACTTGGAAGTCTGGGTCTTAGAATTTTCTTAAAGTTACAAGTGAATGCCTTTATGAGGGCTAGTAGTGTCTTTTGGTTTTGAGTTTACTTAACACTGAAAGGCATCTTTGAACGTGTAGGCACTTTTGTGCTCATACTCATGTTAATTTATGTTAAGCATAATTTACAAAACAGTTGCTTTTAGAAAAGTTGAAAATATCTTAAGGCACATAGTGTTGGACAGGGTGCTTTCAAGATAACAAGGCCTTCTTTGGTTTAGATATTCCTTTCAACATTATTTGCCAGTGTAAAAGGCTATTGTAAATAGTCCCATTTAAAATTGATTGGCTGTCATAGGAGTCGTCTCCATGTCTCAAACACGGCTACAAGATTGTGGATCCTTCACAGTTTTTAAAGTATCACAGCACTTTAAACTATGCAGTTCTGTATATTTGATTAGATTTATATCCTACCTTATACAAACGGCACAGAGCAGTAGAAGAACATGCATTTAATTCTGTGGAAGAAAAATATTCTTAAATTCTATTTTTTCTTTTTAAAAATTTTCAGTTATGGTGCTGTGACCATAAATGATATTAATTGGTTATGAATTTGGCCTTCAAAGAGAGAATATTTAGCCCCCTCCCTCCTTTTTAAAAAAAAATTACAGTCCTAAAACTTAAAACCTATCAGTCTGGTGACTGGCTCTTTAAAACTTTTTGCTTTGTTGAGGTAATGTCTTTTTCTATTAAAAAAAGACTATCTTTCAATGAGACTTCTGTTAACAGAAGTCCTGATGTTATGTTCTTGGTGGTGGTAGTAATTTCTTTTTTTCATTTTGTGCCTATTTCTCTGCATTGCTAAAGAAAATTACATTTCTTGTTGTTGGTGATGGGAAAGTTGACATTCTAAAGTCTAATGAAGTAGCATCACCTAAATAGTGATCTCAAAACTACATAATCAAATTGTATACTGGTACTCTGAAACTGTAGACAACACATTCTTTGATTCTTAGATGGAATGTGTTCTGGAACATTGCAGCTGATCACTATTTATTCTCCTCTTTTTAGGAATAAGTTCCCCTGTTTCCCAGGTAGACATGAAAATATGAGCTTTACTTGATTTATTAGATGCTATTTCCAAAAATGTAAATTCCGCAAATCATGCTTTGAATATCAGAAGACTTGCCAAGCTGTCTGCATTTTGTGGGTGTAAGATTAACTTTCTCCTTTTCTTAAAAGGGTAGACTATTTCCTGGAAATTTAATTACTTAGTTCTACCTGTCTACGTACATAACTCAATGTACTTAACCCTTGATCTCATCCTGATGATGTATTTGAACCACAGCAGAATAGCAAACACTGATTTATCATTTTTTTAAGCATGGGTTTGTAAGCATGAATTCTAAATATGGTATATCTTATGGCATAACTAAAAAATGAGAGCCAAATAGCAGTACCCTATGAATAGGCAATATACTTTTG